CAGCACTAGATCTGGCTGTATTAAGCTGAAAATAGTTGATCTGCTTAAGTTCCTTATGATCAGCAAGCCAGAAGCCAAAAACGCTTTATCTCAGCGAGAGAAGTCAAAAATGGACTATTTGTAAATTTGCAGCACTACATTCAATTTTCAGCCTTCTTAGTTGCTGGACAGCTCCGAAATGCTGAGCAGCACTAGATCTGGGGGTATTAAGCTGGAATTAGGTCTAATGCTTAAGTTTCAAGTGATCAGCAAGCCAGAAGCCAAAAACGCTTTATCTCAGCGAGAGAAGTCAAAAATGGACTATTTGTGAATTTGCAGCACTACATTCAATTTTCAGCCTTCTTAGTTGTTGGACAGCTCCGAAATGCTGAGCAGCACTAGATCTGGCTGTATTAAGCTGGAATTAGGTCTAATGCTTAAGTTTCAAGTGATCAGCAAGCCAGAAGCCAAAAACGCTTTATCTCAGTGAAAGAAGTCAACAATGGACTATTTGTGAATTTGCAGTACTACCTTCAATTTTCAGCCTTGTTAGCTCTTGGACAGGTCTGAAATGCTGAGCAGCAGTAGATCTGGCTATATCAAAATACATATGCCTTCTCTGTTTCATTGCTCTATTGTTATTTTTTGTAGGTTTCTGTAAATTTCAGTGGTGCATTGAATGGAATATTCTGTCGTTGATCCTCACTCCTGTTAGGGACATACCAACAATGTCATTCAGTAAATAATGACAATTTTAATGAGCTCTTGCTTTAAAAGTTGGATGAAAGGTTTTATGTTATGTTTATGACAGTGTCATGTCAGTTGTTAGAGATTTTTTGTTATCATTTTTATTCATATTCAGTCTAATGTTAATCAATTGTTAATCAACATTCAGTCTAATATTAATTAGTAATGACGTGCTGTACTAAAACCTTTTTGATTGCTGTGCTGAATATCTGTGCTCCTGAAAATTGATTGGTCCCTCCAGATTTCGCTCTCAAGGGAAAGAGACCTGTGTGAGCTTGCCATCTGTTTTTATCGTTTATCATTTCTGACTTTTGTTTTCCCAAAGAAAACGCCTGCTCTAGCAGACAGAGGGCAGAACGCTTTGTGAACGACTCGGAGGAGCAGTTTGCCGAGTCTTCTCTTTTTGCAAAAGTTTGGCCATAAAATTCTTATACGTTGTCTGTGGTTCTTTTATGTAGGTTCAGAAAAATACCTATCATCAGTCTTATGCACACCCCATGAAATAAAGTGTTACCAAAATGTTAATATATTGAAAACACAACGTAATTATATTTTTTGTTCTTTGAAGTAATAACTTTAGTGTTTTTTATCACAGTAAATTTTCACGTTCATTGTGTTCACTTTTATACTTGTAAACTGATAATTGATGTAAAAATTGTACAATTTTAAAATGTCGGTAATAAAACAAAATATTTAAATCACCTTGAACATCTTGTGTAATTAATCTTTCCATGTAATTGTAGCCTAAAACAATGTAAGTACTGTAGTGTAGTTATGCACGTACTGTACAAAATATGAATTAAGACTTATGAGTAATTAATATTGTACTTTATTAGCAATAGCAGTGAATCAAAAATAAGTGTAATTTGAATAGATTACTAATATATTAGTAGTATATTTAAAATACATTTAAGGTATATTAAAAGTATATTTTTAATAATTCTATGACAGAATTAGTGGACTCAAAATATACTAATCAAGCTCTTGAATATTACATAAAAAAGTATATTTAAAGTATACTAAGCACTACTTGAAGTTGTTCCAAAAAAATATGTTTAGTATACTAAGTATATTAAAAATTGTAAATTAATAGTATTTAAATACTATTAAAATATACTAAGCACAAAAAGTTGTTCCAAAATAGTACAGTTTAAGTACATTAATCAAAGTATTCTAAAGTATGTTAAAACTTAATATGCTAAAGTATACTTTTTTTTTTACTAGGGTTTTCAGTTTTTCAACTAAAATACAGAAGTTGTCTTTTTCCAATCTATTTTCAGATATATGATCTGTTAGTGAACAGCATTAGCTGCAGTTCATGCTCCAGACCAGAAAGTGTGCAGTATTGCACACTTCGTTTATTTATAAATGGTGTAGTACAGATATAAACAAACTTACGTTGGTTTCAGAAATAATTATTTTTTATCAATTTTATTGTGATTTTTATGATTATTACTATAACAATCATTCAGCTTCATGTTAGAACTGCATAAAGGCTCTGACTTAATAGTTTTCTTCATAAACTTAACCTGGTTTTAATTGAGCTCAGTATGCCAAAGAGACTTTGATATTGTGAGGCTGTTGTTATAACTCGTTCATCATTGTTTTTATCTTCAACATATTTTTGCAGTCTAAGCAAATAAATATGAAAGGGGAAGCCAGGAATCAGGAATTGGAAAACCTAAAGACTTTCCTGTCTCAGATGAGGCTCTGGCTCCAGCAGATCAACAACCAACACTGAAGATGAACCTCCACATTGTCTTCATGGGGAAAGGCTAGCTAGCTATTTATTTATTTATTTATTCATTCATTCATTCTACTTAGCTGGCCACAGTTTTAACAGAAAACTGGTGTGTTACCAACACTATGTATAAACATGATTTGATTTAAAAAATAATTTGACAGAATTTATTCCCCTTGTATAATCTACAATTTCTCTTTCCCTGTGATGGACTGGTGACCTGTCCAGGGTGAACCCCGCCTCTCATCTGATGTCTGGAGATGGGCACCACCAGCCCCCCTCACCACCCAGCAAAGATCAGCGTGTTCAGATCATGGACTTAAACAGCTTCATAGTTGATGCCAACATCAACTGATTCTATGATATTGCTGACTATTTTTTTCTACTTCTGACATAAACAGGCAAAGAAGACACTCAGAAATGTTTTTCCACCCCAGGCATCAGTTTTGATGATGCCACATACATAGCGAATCCACAACATTCTAAAATTGTAAGTTTCACTTTTTTCCTTGCCGTTTTTCTGTACTCTTTAAAATACAAGTGCTTTCTCTCTTTAATTGCTCTGTTGTTCTTTTTTGCAGGTTTATGTAAGTGAATGGGAATGTTCTGTTGTTGAGCCTCACTGTTCTTAGGAAGGAGAAATGTCAGTTTGTCTGCAGTAATACTGGAATACTGTGACATTGTATTAAAACAATACTCTGTCCTTGGTGAAATATTTTTCACATTTCTTCCAAAGTGTACCTATTGATTTACTGTGCTAATTTCCATAAGCATGTTGTCTGTAAACTTTGAATGTATTGACAATTTGTAAAATTCTGTTATAGTATATTGGCAATGTACTCTTGAAAAATGTGGGTAACATTTTATTTGACAGAGTTTGCAGAAGACTGACATGATATTGTCAAACATCTGTTAGGAATATACTAAAAGGTGTCATGAAGTGTCATTCAGTAAATAATGACACTTTTAATGAGAAGAAGTATCTTTGCATTAAAAATGTCATTATTTACCAAATTACACTTCATGACAAATGTCAGACATTCATAAAGACTCTTTATGTTTATGACAGTGTCATGTCAGTCTTGCACACTCCATCAAATAAAGTGTTACCAAATTGGTAATATATTGACAGGGCAATGTCATTTGTTTCACCTGAGAAGTGTGTAATTGATCCTTCTGTGTTCTGTAGCCTGATGTGTTTGCAGTGCTGTTGTGTGTATGAAGCATGTAATGTACAAAGTGGCAAAGCAGAATAATAAAGACATTAAATAACTAAAAAGTGTACTTAATAAGCAATTATAACAAACCAAAAGTGTAATTGTAGCATACTGTAATCACATTAACTAACCCTAACCCTAAACATATTAAATATGTTTTTACAATATACTTAAAATACCTTGTAAGTATATTTTAAATGTAATTCAATCACAATAATAATAATACACTCAAAATATACTAATCAAGCATTGTTTTAGTACATAAAAATCAGTACACTTAAAGTATACTAAGTGCAACTTAAGTTGTCCAAAAAAAGTATGTTGACATATGCTTAGTACACTTTAAATTATACTTTAATACTATTTTAAAACTACTGAAGTACACTAAGCACAAAATTAGTTCCAAAATGTCACACTTTAAGTATACTAGTCTTAAGTAAACTTGAAGTATACTCATTAGTCGACTTAAAGTATACTCAAGTATGTTAAAATTTAACATACTTAGAACATTAATTTTGGTGAAAAATTAAGTACATGTTGAGTACATGTTTTAAAAATTATGTAACTAAAACCGTTCACCGTTATCTTAAGTTGTAAACTTTATGTTTAATTTACAAAGATAAACATATATGGCTTTTTCTTAAGGTGAATCTAAGTTTTATTGCCGATTAAACCTAAATATTCATCAGTAAAATCTCATCCTTCACTGGTGGCTGAAAAATTATTTTACTTGAATGGTTGTGCTATGCTTCATTGTGTCCACCAGATGGCTCATTTTCTCTGCACATCCATGGAGAGATGTCGAGTACACACTCCAGCCGCTAAGGGGCAACGTAGGTCGTTACACGCTTTTCCTCTCCGCGGAGCAAGACGAGCTTGCTGCGGCTTTTTTGGTTCAGACTGTAGGCTCTCTGAAGACTGAGCTCAACCAGGAGGTGGAGTAGCGTTGCTTTTCTACTCCGCGGGACCAGACATCAGCTGCAATGTTGCTATTGAGCTGAAATAACACTATCTGTTGACTGTACTGCATGACAGGTAACTTTTATTCGTATTTTTGTTATAAACATGGTCTTGTTTTAGCAGTATATGTTAACCTAGCTGAAACAACAGTTGCTCCTCCTCTTGTTAACGTTAGTGGTTAGCTACACGTCACCTGTGGCTAATATACATCTTAAAAAATGCAGCATGTCGACGGCATGATAAACTTATAAAGAAAAGACCCAGAGGATAATTGTTTAGGGCTTAAGTCTAACAAAGGTGTTCTTTTCGTATGAAGATACTTTGTATTTTCCTCGTAACCTGAGTTGTTGAGCTAGCTAGCCTGCCGTTGCCTTCACAGACACCCAGCCAAAAGAAGCAGAAGGTGCAGGCTGCTGTCACTTTGCAGCCTCATTTCCCTCTTGAAGTAACAGTTTTGAAAGACAGCGCTTCACGGCAAGAAAAGTCCACTGCAGATAAAGTGTTGTGTGACTTCCTGAATGAAAGCCAAGCTAACGGCACTACAGTGACTCTGAAGAAATGTGTGGGTGCACCACAAAACTCGTAAAAATTCATTTTACGTTTATAGATTCATTTTCGTGCTGGTTTTAGATAAACTGGCATCAATTACATTGAGTACAAACTTTGGTCAGATACGTTTTAGTATAGATCTCAGTGTTGCATAACAGGTTGATTACCTTATCATATAGAGAATTTTCCTGTTGGTTTAGTTGTTGACTTCATTATAACATACGAATCGATATCTCATTGAAATTTGGAACCGTTTTCTTAAAGCTTCACTTTAGTCCAACTCTCAAAAGATGTCTTCAGAGTGGAACTAATTACAACTGTTCTGTTTTGGAATACATATTTTTATATGTCAAATGCATATATATTTATTTCTTTTTGGTTTATTTTCTTTATACAGCCCCTTGTATCTACTTCCTTTAGTGTGCAATGGAGTATGATTACCTGTTTTTTCTCTCTTTTCTTTTTAATCTAACTCTTGTGAGAGTTACTTGAAACCCCTAATAGCTTGTTATTTTTATGTCTGATCAGTTAGCCTTTTTTTGCTCACATTTTGTGGAGATCTTACATGCCATTAAATTAATTAGCATCCAGTAAATAGAAACTTTGTATTACACCCTATTCTCTTTATTTGATTATATTCACCACTTTGGCCATTTGACAAATTAAAACTTATTATCCCACCGAAAGAATTGGAGTAGATCTTCTGCTGTGTATAAAAATATATTGGAGACATATTGCCACATTTCCATGCAGCAGGTTATAAAACATGCTTTACATTCTGGTTGTCAAAATAGGTACAAAATACCTTGTCATTTCAAAATGACAAGGTGGTACATTACATCATTTTGTACCAAAAAAAAAAGTCAAGTACAACAAGACCGAAACTGCTAAGGTATGAAGAGGGAAAAAAAACCCTGATAACATGCTTGAGTTGCTTAGAATATGCTGAAACATTTTTTTTTAACTCTACTATTGTCACGATTTACACAAGACTCTCCTTTTTCCGACAGCACTCAGCAAACATGGAGCTTCACAAATCCGTGACCTTTTGGATATTTTGTTTGTGCCTAATTGGAGAGACTGCATCTGAAAAACAAAGTTTATTTTCACCAGACAGTCAAAATGGTGAAAATGGCCTGTCAGGTGAGTCTGTATTCATCACGTTTTAATCTTTTGTAGCATTGGGAACGATAAACTAGGTTGACACTCGCACACTATGGAGTGCTAGAGTATTACAGTTTGTGCTACATCTTTGTGATTGTGCAGGCACTAAATGTGGCTATGCTGAGAATAGCACAGTTGGCATTTGCCATTAAGCCCTGTCCTCCAGTGTGAGCAAAGCACCAAGTCAAACCCAACAGATAAAAGAGCATCAAAGCCATGCAAACTGATAGTGTAGCACAGTTTTTTCTTTTTTTCTTTTTTTTTTGAAAATTAGGAACTCTGTAACCCAGGTTTGTCTTTTATCTCTGAACGTGCCTGAGTCCTTGAAGAAACTTTGTTTAAACAACAGAAACTCTTGATCCGTCAGCTGTAAAATATGATCTTTGTGTTGATTTGGGCTTTTAATGTGCTGACTTGTGTCTTAGGATTTTGTACTGCTTGTTTGCACACATCGCTAACTCCTTTGGTTGTGGTCTTTTTCACTGTTGCTGAGCAGACGGTTAGAGTGAGATATACTCTGACATTTCATTCACTTCACTTGGACACCAGCTGAAGCATATCTATGAAGACATGTTACTGATCGTCTCACCAAGCTTATTGTGAGAAAGTTTGTTCTTGATTTGAAAAGAAAAGGTTCAAGCGTCCTACATGTATCTTGAGTGCCGGTTGTCGACGGTAACTGTCGCCATTATTAGGTGGCGAACAGTGTGCTGCTCACCATGCAGGCACACAGAATAGGTTACGCAACTTGAGCTCTTACAAAAAAAAGCTGGCCAACCGGTATGTAAATACCTTATCTAGTGTCTCTGGATGTTTGCAAGCCAAATGAGAAGAAATACCGTGTTACGTGTGTGAGACTTTTGCAGGTGGTGGCCTTTTTTAATTTTTGTCCCCTTGGCTTTCAGTCTCTGTTAAACATGGAGAGAGAGAATGTCTTTTACTCTGCGGTATGTGGCTTTGCAGGTTTACTGAGGCTGAAAAGCTTGCATGCTGTGGCTCAAAAATTAACTTTTCACTACACGGAAGTTCACTTCTTTGTTCTGGTTTAGCGGTTGCACTTAAGGCACAATTTAACGAAAAGAACATGTTGTTGATCCTGTTTCCCAGCGTGTTCTCAGTGGAATAGTCAATGACACATTTTAGACTGTTTGCTCTCTGTTCAGATTTTGTCGAAACATGTTGATTTCAAAGACATAAAACTTTGTTTTACATAATTTGATCAGTGCTTATTCAAATCAGAAGCTTTTTATGCAGAATTATGAGAAACAAAAACTTACAAACAACCAGGATTAGGGACTTTTTGGAGCTCTTATCTCAGGCAAATATAAACATAAGGGGAAGTTTAGTTTATTTTGAGCAAGGTGACGACATAATGTTGCAAGGTTCTTTCAAAAGATTTTAAAAGTAACTATCATAAGGGAAGATTTGTTCTTCTCTGAGAAGATTTGTATGGTTTGAGTGTTCAAACTCAAACCATAGCATAGACGACCCCAAATTGTACAAAAGAAGAATTATGTATTGTCATAAAACTGCAGTATTGCAATTAAGAAATCTAAAATGTTTTTTGCAGAAGCATGTGGTCATGGCTGAAGCTGAATCTGTGCTGTGTGTGTATCTAAACCATCATTTCTCACTGACAAGGCCGCTCTCCTCATTGACCCTAACCTTCCCATCCTAGTTCAAGGGTGTTTGGGAAATGCTACTAACATTCTTCTTAAAAGTACAAATAAACATCCACTGAAATAAGAATCAAACCTGAAAGCAGCCGTTAGACATGACAAACCTGTATTATTATGCAAACTATACTTAGTGTTATGAAAATGTTTTTGCTCGCTTACAGGTTTTTAAAGTTTTCAGAAATTTCATCCAACTTATATGTGTTAATCATCAAACTAATGTTAATGTACAGTGGTTTATTATATTTACTGTTTATTCACTTTTTTCAAGAGTCAACTGTTCACAAAGGGAAACCTTTAGAAGTTACATGGTTACAAGACTAACCTGGTTCTAAATGGAAAAGCAATTTCGTTTTGTTAATTATTTTTGTTGATGTCTGTTTCTCTAAGCCAGGGGTGTCAAAACTCCAGTCTTCAAGGGCCACTGTCCTGCAGTTTTTAGATGTGCCACAAGTACAAAACACTGGATTGAAATGGCTTAATTACCTCCTACTTGTGTAGATATGTTCTCCAGAGCCTTGCTAATGACCTAATTATTCTATTCAGGTGTGGTGCAGCAGAGGCACATCTAAGAGTTACAGGGCAGTGGCCCTCCAGGACTGGAATTTGACATCTGTGCTCTAAGTATACCCAGTCCTGATTCCTACCTAAAGTCTAAAGATGAGACCTTTAGACTCAATGTATCTCTGAGATGGAATGTGTCTGTCAACATAAAGTTGGAAAAAAAATATCTCAAAAGTAGAACAAATTTAGCAACAGGTGATCAAAACAAATTCAGCAACAGGTGAAAAACTATTGATACATTGCCAATTTTTTGTCTAAAATAACCTTACAAAGCCATTTCTAAAGCTTAGAGCTCCAGTTAACCACAGTGAGAAAAAAGTAAAGAAAATATGCAATAGAGGTGAACTTTTCCAAGTGTGGCCAGCCATTGCGAAATAGTTCCTCCTTAAAGAGAGAAAAACATATAAAATACTGCAGATTAGTGCTGCAGAGTTAGCATTGGCGCAGTATTACTGACTTTGCATCAATGTTATGTAAACAATAACATGCAACATGTCCACAGGGTCAGGTTAGTTTGGATAACTGTCTTTTTCCTTCCGTAAATAAAATCACTATTTGGAAACAGCATTTTTGTATTTACTTAGGTTTTCTTTCACTAATGTTAAAAATTATTTGGTAACACTTTGACGGGCTGTGCATAAGACTGACATGACACTGTCATAAACATGACATAACATC